GAGGCAAGCCTAAAAACTCGAAAGGTAGCAATAAAAGCAAGATCAACATTGAAAGGCGATTCGCAAGCGCACTTGCCTGCCAAATTCACAATTTCACCCTTCTTCAAATAATTGTTTATTCAAGCCCATTTCCTACACGACCTTCAGTTCTTTTATAATTGCACCTTCTGGTGTTGCGGTCTATCTAGTTAAACAGGTTAACACCGGACAGGTAAGGATTATCTCGAGTGCAGGGGGTTTTAAGCCTAGAATAACGTGCTTGTGTGCCTCAGATATTTGCGCAATTGAGATTGCCGATTCGTAAGACCCGATTCTCATTTCTACTGTTACAACAAATATTGAATTTAACGAAATAACTTGTGGTCCCAGTTCTATTTTTGTTATCACGAGGTTCGTCTCTAAATAGGAGAATATGACCACCTGCGTGTGTTCCTCGTCACTGCGGCTATACACCATGCAGCTGGTCAAGCTTAGTGTTTCGCCATGCAGATGAGCACCCTCTACGTTGCGCATGCTCAGCCTGGCCATTCAGGCGACTACTCCTGCGGTATCGGCCTCCATGATGCTCATCGTCTGCGCGTGCTGCCTTTGTCACCACCTGGCGGCATTCTTTCGAGGAGAGACAGCCAGCAAGACTGTCATCACTTGGTTGGTATTTCTCAGCCATATTGCCACGTAAATCATGACGCGTGAAGTTGCCTTCACAACCATTGTTCGGAATGTATTTACCTTTAATGGGATCGTTCGATCTTGACGTGCATCGAAAAATGACCCGAAACAGTGCGCATACAAGCAAGCAAAACGCTGGATAAAGTTAAAAGCACAATCTAGGGGTACGACCAGCCCAATAGTTTAAAGCGGTAACGAAACAGAGATGTCCAGTTAGCTTGCCTATGCCCAAACTCGATTTTTTTTAGACGCAGTAGTTTGCAACTCGGTTGTCGTCAGTCGAGGTGATCTAATCTTCAAGTGATGCGAGAAAGAATATCGGCGCAACATTTTCGTAGCAGCACGTGATCAGAAAAACAAAGCCATTGGTGACTGTCATAGTTTGGGCTTGTTGATACGTCATTTTGTAGGTTTCTTCAGTGCAGCGCGACCAGTTCAGTGTGACTAGTAATTATCTAGTCAGTGTTTTTGTAGTACTTCCACTTATTCAATTTTGATTATTTGCATTTTGTACTACAATTTCTTTTGTAATTTCTTCCATGTTGTCGACTCTCTTGTAACACAGGAGGCCCCTTAGTGAGCCAAGTGCTCCGAGACCTCCTCCTGTACACTTGAATAGGCATGTATATTTGATGCGAAAATAAGCTCTCTGTTAACACATCAGACCTGAACTCAGAGACGGAACGCGGCACAAATGCGCTGCATGTGTACCATTTCTTCTGTACATCATTGCCCTGGTTTCGCGACACTAATGCACCCTTTATGAAGTCGTAAAGCACACTGTGCCGGTTCTCTTTACAGACTCCGAACAAGTCTCTGGAGATATCGTGCGAGCTATCCAGCACAGGCCGATCGGTGACCTGGTACAAGGACGACGTGGCGCTGCACCAGGGTCAGCGCGAGCGATACGTCTTTGGGCCCGGACGCTTGGTGATCCAGGACGCGCGGATCTCGGATGCCGGCACCTACACGTGTCTCGGAAGCGGTGGTGCGGGCGTCAGCGTTAGCGTGGCTGCGCCGATCGCCATCGAACCAATGCCGGCCTTCCAAAAGGCCAGGGTGAGTGTAATCACTATAGACAGCTCGGCTAGTTCGCTAGTTCGGCTCGGTTCTAGCTATGGAACATGATACTGGTGCAAGTCCACGGAGTGAATGATGATGAGTGGGGCGAAGCTGTAAACCGTGAATCATCTGTCTGTCTGTCTGTCTGTCTGTCTGTCTGTCTGTCTGTCTGTCTGTCTGTCTGTCTGTCTGTCTGTCTGTCTGTCTGTCTGTCTGTCTGTCTGTCTATCTATCTATCTATCTATCTATCTATCTATCTATCTATCTATCTATCTATCTATCTATCTATCTATCTATCTATCTATCTATCTATCTATCTATCTATCTATCTATCTATCTATCTATCTATCTATCTATCTATCTATCTATCTATCTATCTATCTATCTATCTATCTATCTATCTATCTATCTATCTATCTATCTATCTATCTATCTACCTACCTGACTGGACTGGACTGGACTGGACTAGACTGGACTAGACTGGACTAGACTGGACTAGACTGGACTAGACTGGACTAGACTGGACTATACTGGACTAGACTGGACTGGACTGGACTGGACTGGACTGGACGGGGACGGGGACTGGGACTGGGACTGGGACTGGGACTGGGACGGGACGGGACGGGACCGGTCTGTCTGTCTGTCTGTCTGTCTGTCTGTCTGTCTGTCTGTCTGTCTGTCTGTCTGTCTGTCTGTCTGTCTGTCTGTCTGTCTGTCTGTCTGTCTGTCTGTCTGTCTGTCTGTCTGTCTGTCTGTCTGTCTGTCTGTCTGTTCACCTTCACTTGAGAAAGCCGATGGAAGCGCCGTCTCTAGGCACGGCAAGTCACTGCATATCAGCAATAATCTGCTGCGACTCTTGAGTAGGGCAGCATCATTTTGAGCCGAGAGGTGGCGCAGTGCTCAACCCTGTCAAGTGAGGGGTGGAAGTCGAGTCGAGGAGCGTTCGTGAATACGGGGGTGAGTCGTAGAACTTGGGCGGTCACGTACCAAGAGAGATAAGCATGTACAGACCCATGGCTTTAGAAGCTTCGCCCCTATAAATAACGTACAAAAACAAGACAACGCCAGTATTGCAAGGTGATGTCTTTTTAGTAGTCAGTGTCCTGTTTGTTAGTACGACGTTACGTAGCTATAAAGGAGTATACTCAGTCAGCCGAGGCTGTCAAGCATAACAGGAAGGCGCGGTAAATTTCTAACGAGCGCACGTTAGTTTTTAAGCTTGAAGACGGGATGTGCATCTTGTTTGAAAAAGTGAGAAAATTCCAGGGCTGAAATATGGCATAAAATTCAGTAAGCCAGTTACGCTGCAGTCAGTAAAGTAGTTGTAGAAGACGTGTCTACAAAGGTTTCCTTTTATATATACATTTTGTCGCAAAGTAAGCTTCGAATCGCGAAAAAAGGCTTCAAAATTTAACCTATGGAAACAACATATTGCCGGGGTTTACGCTTACTTTTTGTGTGTGGCTGTTGGTTTAGTTCCGTGTTTTCTACGTGTAATAGCCACGATTTTATTCCGGCACTTTACAAGCGCGGCACTCCGAGATCATCAGATCATCTGGGGTACTTTTACGTGCACTTTAATATATGTACCCACATCGGGACTTTCATATTTCGCCCCCATCGAAACGAGATAGCCCAGGCGATCTCAGCATCTAACCATTCCCACTATAGTGCTGAGAAATGCTTTTGCGGAATATGTCGCTTGAGCCAGCGATTCCACAGGGCGACTTGTCATGGCCAGTGCAACAAGCATGGACACTTAAGCATCGTCGTGCACTCGGCTACAACCCAAGAATAAAGATGAACTCCGCGCAAGACCGGGAGGCTTTCAGATCACCTATGTAGGAGTGTTGTGCAAGTCAGTTTTTTTTTTTTTCGAACCGTAAACACTTTTTCTGTACCAATGTAAATGTCCCATATATAGAAAACTACGGGTTCGTTATTTCTATACCTAAAATATGGCACTAATGTAGGCAGTGACATCGAAATCTCTGATGAAATTTGCCAGGATGCTCAAGTTTTTTACTCGGACAGCGACATAGACATGTCTGTACGGAAACAATTACTCGAAACTCACAAAAAGTTACTGACGTCGCGGAAATTTGCAACTGTGATTGGACGGAATGTCTACGCAAATTCCCCGTGCCAGGGAAGTGATGACTGTGAGTGGAGCTTGTATTTCTCAGGTCGCACCAAGTCTACCGAAATGAAGTGACGACTTATGACGCTGTATCTTTCCCGCAGGTGAACAAATCGTTCAGCATCCTGTGCAATATCGACACCGAGCCGCGTCCCCGCGTCTCGTGGTTTCTCGGTGATTCACCACTGACGCCTTCGGATCGGCTTATCTTGTCGCCCGGAAAAAATGGCGTCGAGAATGCTAAGCTCACGATTCTACACGTAACTCCCCAGGATCGCAATACGTAAGAGCCTAGTATAACCTAACCGAACCTCACCTAACATAAGCTAACCCATATTTATGGCCGGGTTTTTCTCTAAGACCACCAGGGGGATCTGTGGCACTGCGATCACCCAGATTACGTGGGAGGGTCGTGCAAACAGTATTTGTCGATTTAACTTATCATGCTGCTTGTGGCTTAGTACTTTCTTCCTGCAGCATTATCATTACGGTGAAAAATTGCCTCATAATGGCTCAAGTTTCAAAACCACAAGACTTTGCGTACGTAGAACAGCTCTACAAACTGTGTTTGTAGTGTGATACTTTGCTGAAAGTGATAATTTTCCAAGTCACAAAAGGTGTTTGAAACCGCAAAGGGAAAGTTTAGACAATCTACGTAGAATACACGTAGTTCACGGGCTGGATAAACCACTCGGATTGTCAGAGGAGTGCCGGGCCCATGCCCCCTCCCCTCACCCTTCTGTAATCCCTCCTGTACCACCGTCATTCACAGTGGACAGAGATCGTTAAAACAGACTGAACTGATTTGTTCGTAAAAAAAACAAAACTGGCATCCACCCGAACATACAAGAGAGCTACAAATTCCAGATCGGTTAATTTTCTCTGGAATACAAGCTTCTTTTTCCTTTATTTTTGTGAAAGAGAAGACTCAATTGTTTCGTCTACTTTCTGAATACTAGCAGCAGGCTTGTTGAGGTAATCCCAGAAATGGTACTTTGTTTTGTTTTGTGAATACTAGCTCAAAACAGTTTTTCGCGGAACTAGATTCCCTGACACATACTCCCGTCGAAGAGCGTCGTTGTGAATGACCACTAGATGTGCCGTTTCCTCTCTTGCAGCTACACATGTCGAGCTGCGCATATGCACTGCAGCGATCGGCTCGCCTCTCAGGTGTCCACCCAGCTGCTCGTCAGCGTCCTCGCCATCACCACCAACGAGGAGCACAAGGGTCAAGGCATCACCATCGACCCGAGCGAGCCGTTCGTGCTGAGCTGCGACTCGGGCCAGGCGAGCGTTCCGGTTAAGTGGGAGAAAGAAGGAGATGGTCCCATAGCCGAGGACGATCCGCGGCTCAAGGTTCTCGAGAATAAGACCACGTGGAGCCTGACCATCGATAAGCCGACCCCCAAGGACGCCGGCAAGTACAAGTGCACGGCCGGAGCCGACTCCGCCGAGATCGACGCCTTCTTCAAGCTGGCGGCCACACTGAGCGAGCGACAGTCGACCGCGCCCTCGGCCTGGGTCGAGGGAAAAGAGGCGTACATCGCTGTCGCCATCGTGGGCTACCCCAATAAGTTCACGCTGACCTGGACAAAGGACGATCGGCCGCTGAAGGTTGACGATCGCGTGACGACGCAGAAGTTCGAGGAAGTGGAGGACGCCATGATCCGCTTCAAGCCGCTCACGACGGAAGACGCCGGCAAGTACGTGTGCCTAGTGGATAACGGCAAGGAGCACGTGGAGTTTGAGCACACGGTCGAGGTTAAAGGCAAGTACGCGGCGCTGCTCCCTTTCATCGGCATCTGCGTCGAGGTGGCCGTGCTGTGCGCCATCGTCTACGTGGTGGAGAAGAAAGCGCTCGGGGATGCCATGCGGGCGCCGGTGTCCGCAGTCAGCGCCTCGGAGCTGCCGCACGAGGAGGCCGAAGAAGCCGCCGGCCATGCAGGGGAGGAACCCGGACAAGAGGTCCCTCCAGCACCAGAGGGCCAGGAGGATGAGCACGCGGCGGCTAACGCACCGCCACACGAGGCTGCTGCCGAACCGGCACCGCCCCAAGAGGCTGCTGACGCACCGCCGCATGCGCCGGCTGATGTACCGCCACACGCCCAGTAAGCGTCGTGCGCCCAGACTGTAAGCGGGCACTCGGATATAGTGCTTCCCGAGTGCCCTTTTCGCAGCGCAGGACAGCTCCCGGAGAGCTCAATAAACCTGGCTCTGCGCTGCCAACTTGCACGCAATGCAGTCTTGTCTCGTGTGCTCTGACAGTGAGCGCATCGTGTCGGCGTGCAGAAAGTGGGAACATACGAGAACACTAGAATATGCAGCAGTGAAATATGACGCGTTTTCTTTTTTTTTTTCGGGAGCTTTGAAGTATTTAATTCCCCATACGTGTGCACAATGGTGTCTTTGGCGAAAACGCTAGCTGTTGCTGTATTACATGCACCTATGTCTCGCCGCGTGCAATACAGCATTCGGTATCCATAGTGTGCTGCAGCGTCCCTTGTGCAGGCTTACCACAACATAACGAGGACCTAAGTGGGCTACTGTTTACCAACACTTCGCTTTAAGTGGAGTGAAAGTGATGCGTATCAACGCATTTCGCAGAGTTTCGTTTTATCGAGCCTTTTCTTTCTTTCTTTCTTTCTTTCTTTCTTTCTTTCTTTCTTTCTTTCTTTCTTTCTTTCTTTCTTTCTTTCTTTCTTTCTTTCTTTCTTTCTTTCTTTCTTTCTTACAAAGCCATTACGTAATATTGCATTGCCCGGCTTCTCTTTCAAATATAGCTGCGACCTTTTCCGTAGACTATTTAGCCTTCGTTGGCTAGCAACGTGAAATGTGTGAATAGTGTAGAAAGGTGTTTTAGTATTTGATTCTTCGGCGACTGGCCTGGTTACGATAAACAAACAGTCCATGTCTTTAGTCTGTTACCACCCTCAATAATTGACACCTTCAGGTCATCGTTGCTTGATTTGTCCTTGCTCTGAAATGCGATAGGGTGTTCGATTACAAGCCATTTTGTGTTGTCTGAATCAATTGAGCTACTTGAAGCTGATAACCTCAATAGACCATTAAATAATGTGCCATTTTCTTCTATTCCCATTACTTCCACGTCTACCTATAATAATAAAGTGATGTTCCGTCATTAGTGGTATTCCTTTAATATTTTTGTGCGTTTTTGTGCGCTTTGAGAAGCTCACACAAAAAGTTTTTGCTTGTGAACTGTGGAAGGGGTGCTGCTACATACGTATACGTAAAAACTCCATTATGTCAGAAAAAAGTTTTTATTAGGCGTTAACCGGCACAAGTAAAAAGTACGGTATACCGTTCAACTCCTGCATATGTACCGTATACGCAGAGTACAAGACAACAAATATACATTGCGTTAATTTATTAATTTACGTACTATATAATCAATGACGCAGCCATAGAGTTCACCGCAAATATATGCTCTTGTATATACATCGCGTCTCGGTCAATTCAAAAAGCGACGTGAATCCGGCAGGAGGTTTACAATGACTGGAACACTCGGCCACACACCGCTAAGCTTGTATATTATATGGCTGGAACGAGGGAACTAGATGGTGCAGCTTGGCGGGTGTGTCCGTTGGCAGTGGCTACAATGAGGATGTCTTGCACAGCGGCGCCGCCAAGCGAAAAGTACATGCGCGTCTTCTGACTTCTCGGAAGCATATACCCCTGGTGGGACATCATTTCAAAACCACGCAACAGTCTGTGAAATGCGCACGCATCTTCCGTCCGAGTGTGTTGGCCCATATTTCGCATACGTGCATCGCAGCCCGCGATGTCGTCAGCAGCGATGTTGAAGCTGAGCGCGCTTGGAGACCCGAAGGTTGCGACAGCGATGGATGTTTAGGAACGCTATACGTCTGCACGCCCTGCCTTCCGAAGCTATCACGTGATATTGTTTTGACCGGTCCTGGACGTGGTTGTGTCCCCATGGCGTTACACTCTTAGCGTATGATAGCTGAAACATACGGGGAGGGACGTTCTCTATTCTCGTCAGTCTCGCGAGAATTCGGGGACGAACGTGAGCAACGCCATGGCTCTGCGCTTGGACTCCTCTTCGGTCGTCTCCTATAGGTCTTGCAGCGTCGTGACCGGCGAATGGTGGAAGGACGAAGCGCCGCACCTCGGACACAAGCTGCGGCTTCGGTCCGTTTATGCGATGAACACCTGTAGTTTCTCGGCTCTTCGACGCTGCGCAGGCCGCTGAAAGCGACGTGCTATTTGCGACGCTACATCAAAGATGACCTCGGCTTGCCAGCTGGTCGGGAAGGAAAGCCTGAAGGTCCAAGTCTGGAATGAGAAAAAAAAGCGCGTATTTTGAGTGACATGTGGTAACCCAAACTGCCACTGACGATGGCGATTTGAGCTGAGAAACTACGATTATTGACACAACTAAGTAAAAAGAATTTGCATTCATAAAATTGATAACAGTGGTTGCTGAGGACAAATTATTTTTTGTGACCTTCTTCGGAAAGTCAACAGAATAGCAGTGAGTTATTAAATCAACGAAACAATCATAAGTTTCATACGCAACGGAGGCTCCATGCGAACTCCTTTATTTCGTGTCGTCCGCAAAATTGCTCTTTGTCATACTGTGAAAAGTTCAAAATCATAAATTTGCATGGTTGACAGACTCAAGGGCCTACGATCTGTAAGATTATTTCATTTAATTTGATTGCATTTATTTTACCTTGAAGACTCCGCAGGGCTGTTACATAAAAGGTGGGGTATACAATATAAACAGGAAAAAAATTACAGAGACTTTTCACACACAAAAAAATCTTGTTAATGCATCCGTGCATGGTCACTGTCAATAAATTCTGTGCTATGGGCTTTCAATTATGCGCTGTATTCGACGTGCACGCGCACAAACACCCATATTGCAACATGTCTGTAGGAGGTTGTTGGACGTTCTGTGGCGTGCACAGTATCGTTAAAGAAACACTTTCACTCTGCACTTTACGACAGTCCATAACGTTTGCTGCGTGACGGGCGTGTTCCGTGTGTTGCTATTGTTAGCTCGACTTAGTGACTTCCTAACAGGGCAGGACAAATACGAGACTTCATATCGTTCCATTCGGCACCTTCGGCCTGTATCTCTGCCACGCACACATTTTTCAATCTACGCTCACCACTGTCACATATTACTCTTAACAAAGTCACTAAGTTTCCTACACGACAAGAAATGGGATCAATAGTGGTGGTGATTCCAATTTAATGATTCTATTCTCCACCCACGCTTGTTGTATGGTCTCAATCTGCTTTCTTTTTCTACGAGATACTGTAGCGTATATACTACCCCGCGGGGCAACCATTTCGCAATGGCTGCGATTTATAAAACGTTTCCTCGAGATTCTCTAATGACATAACGGCCACGTTTTCGCAAACGAAACACGAGTCTCTTTCTCTCTCTCTCTCTATCTCTCTCTCTCTCTTTCGCTCTCTTCTTTCTACCAGCACATCGCACCACACAGCCGAGGCACACGTGCCGTTGTGCGAGCTCTCGGAATGAGCGTAAGACGCAACTTCCTTCCTGCTTTACTTCCTTCTGTCGCCGCCGCAGTTGCCATTTCCTCGTAGGTCGCCGTATACACGCCTCGTTTATACCCACGTGCCTCGAAGCCGGCTGTAGCGACGATATACTCAAATTCGAGAACTTCTCGCAAGTTCCTTTACCCCCGAAGCGATGCGCGGCGATTGCATCTCAGCCGCCGCTGCCGACGTTTCGTATATATACACCACCGATGACGCAAGCGTTGAGTAACAGCGGCATTGCTTTTCTCTTCCGGCCTCATTTGCTTGCGTGCACGCGTCGGTGACGATGAAGGGCGCCAGCCACCGGGTTACGATGCACACCGAGCTTGCGGAGACCTAAACATAAAATTTTTGCGCCTGTGAGTCTCGAAATCTACGTCGGGGCTGGGAACAAGCTAAAGTTGGTTTAACTTCGAGCCACGTGCACGCTAATGCGACCACAAATCCGTTCGTGTGGTATGTGTACGTAAGACGCAGTTGCGCGAGATGCTGTGAAGGCCAACGTTACTGGTGGAGGCTGCCCGCGGCATAGCAAATCCAAGTGTCGACGAGAAGCGTGGCGCGTAACGGTGACACGCCGGAAGTCCAGTTGTTTTTTGTTTGGTAATAAAATACCCGTGCGTAGTAAACTGTGCATTCACACAGCGACACAAGACGCTTTGCAGCTACTAAAGGCCACTGACCCTTGCGTTGCAATAAACATCCAGTCAGTTTCTGTTGCAGGCGAACAATATACTACGTACTATCTACAGAAAAATCACCTAGTGCAGTGAACTATATAGTCTATTGAAATTATTGATTGATTGATTGATGTATGGGTTTAGAGTTCTTAAACCACCATATAATTATGAGAGACACTGTAGTGGAGGGCCCCGAAAATTTCGACCACCTGGAGTTCTTTAACGTGCACCAAAATCTGAGCACACGGGACTGCAGCATGGTTTCTTGAAACTCGTAGCTCCAGTCAGCTGAGCATATGTGCCTGATTTCCGAAATACGCAAGGAGCATACCGGTGTACAAGGTGATGAACAAATATGTACGGTAAATAAAGACAACTCTATGTAACTACGCACGTTTGGGTTGCTGTACAAGAATATCTTGAAGGTCACAGTGACCCTTGTTAATTGCAACTGAATTAGCAACTGTAAATGTTCGCTGCAAATTACAGCGCAGTGACAACGGCGATGTATATTACAGCGACCAGGCTATCAGAAGGGAATCACGGGTGCATTGTGTAGGGTCATTTTTTTTTTTCGCCGAGTCGAGTTTTCCGGGTAATTACACTCCCGTGGTTAGCCTGGCTTCATAGGATTGCCCTTTTCTGCCCCCTAAGACCTTCTAACGAACTGGTATGACCCCCGCTAAATCGAGCGACTCAGTATATATATATATATATATAATATATATATATATATATATATATATATATTATATATAATATATATATATATAATATATATATATATATATAATATATATATATATATTATATATATATATATATATATTCCATTGGCACTTCAGCATAAGCGAGCCAATTTTATTGGCAAATTTTGGCGCAGTCCATCGCTAGCCTTCGAGGTTCACGGTGCGAATTACTGCGTCGTATCAACACTATTTGTACATAACTGTAGTTAACCCTATGTATGTATGTATGTATGTATGTATGTATGTATGTATGTATGTATGTATGTATGTATGTATGTATGTATGTATGTATGTATGTGTGTGTGTATGTATGTATGTATGTATGTATGTATGTATGTATGTATGTATGTATGTATGTATGTATGTATGTATGTATGTATGTATGTATGTATGTATGTATGTATGTAGAATGAACATTCGAGGCCCAGGCGCCTGTGCGTAGAAGCAACTAATGGAGATAGCAATGCCGAGGAAAGGTAGAGGGGAAATCGCCCACTTTTTTATAACGCTGAGGCGCCTAATTGATCCTGCATAGGGTCATACTTACGATAACCTTCACATTATTACTAAATATAAAGTAAAAGAAAAGTGATGGAATGACTAACGCTTTGCCAGCCTTTTAATTGTAATCCGCGAATCTAAGAGATAAGCGGACGGCGACCGGAAACAGTACCGACATTCGATTTACCCGGCGACGTCCGAAAAAGGACCGTAAGTAAAACATCAGGGCGTCCGATCTCCGAAAGAAAGGTTCTCTCTGTCACCTCGCTTTCCAAAAATAGCCTTCCCGCACATACCACCCCATTAGCCTTATCGTTCGTGAATTCAAAGCAGGGCGTCAGACGTCGCCCTTGACGGCATCTATTCCGACGTACTTGAAAGTTACATAAGGAGCAGGTATTGTGAAAAAAAAATAACGAAGCAGACACAAGCAGAGAAAGGGAGCGAGAAAGAAAGAGAGAGCGTGAACAAAGCCGCGTGGACGCTTAGAAGTCGGGCAATTCTTCAAGGCTGCCGCTTTCGTCATTAATGACGTCACATCGGCTACTACGCTGAGGCGACCGTATCTTCCGCGACCAGACAGGGCACTCTGCCAAGTAGCAGTCGGCGTCGAGGGTCATTCTCGCGCATGCAACTTTCACCGGCGAGTAAACAACGTGGAGGGATCCCAATGCGGTCCAGAGCAAAGGCATATATATATATATATATATATATATGAGGCCGCCAACCGTGTATGGGGCTAAATGCCACGCCACTAGCGTCCTTCGAAACGGATGAAACGAAACTGCGCAATTTGTTTAATATGCATTGATGTCGTAGGGTAAACTTACGCAATAAAAATATATAAAAGACTTTCTTCAAACCTCGCTTGCTTCCGAGAACAAACCAAGACAATATAAAGTCGATTTTGAAGACAGCTGAGATGATGTACGAAGTATACCTGTCCGAACGATGCCCAGGTCGACAGAAACGCCTTCAGTGTAGCTAAGAATAAAGAACGTAATGAAGCACAGGGGTATGTGTGAGGTCGACGCCGTTGGCTCGATTCATTTGTAGCAACCACCTGCTCACGCTGCAGGCAGCTGGCCGTCAGAACTATATTAGCGATAACAGACATGAGGAGAGCATAGCGGCTTCGCGTAATTAACTGCCGTTCTGCTTCGTGATTTAGAGAAGGACGAAAAAAGGGTCTGTGCAGTGGGCACGCGTAGAGTCAGTGCTTAGTCGACAAATGTGCTGCTTAAAGGCAATCAGAATGCCTGGGCGGCGTTTCATCAAATTATTATAGAGTGTCGACCTAATGCAGCCTACGAGCGACGGTAGATGACTACTGTACGTGAATTTTGAGGAAGGCCATTTAATTTGTAGCTACAGCGAAAACGTTATATTATGGAGACGCTTTGAAAAAGGCTGGCTGTTTAGACTACTTCCGTTAGCTTTCTTCAGTGCTTACAACGGCGAAACGAGATGACTTAGCGACAGATATTAGTTGGCTTACGCTATACAACCGTTGCGTCACACTTAAGCTGTATGACTCATCCATTGATTCATGAACGTCACCACCGTGATGTGCTTCCTGGACTGTTTGAGATCCTTAAGACGGCGAAATAATTGTGACAAGCACAAATTATTCGTTCACGTCGCAAGCATTTGGTTTTGAAATTTACTCTCATTGTGATGCAGTCGCTGCGGCTACGGTTTCGAAACAGTGACCTCATATTCAGCAGAAGAACGCCGTGAGTTCTAAACGGCCTAGAAGAAGATGTCACATGAACGCCTATATTGAATATACATATCCGCGAATACGAAAATCTGGCAGTATAGCTATAGGTTCGGCTTTAATATTTCAGCTGTCGCTTTAGGAGCACGAGACCGTTATTGATGACCGAACTCACTGCAGCCAAAAGTGTTATATATATATATATATATATATATATATATATATATATATATATATATATATATATATTTATATATATATATATATATATATATATATATATATATATATATATATATATATATATATATATATATATATATATATATATATATATATATATATAACACTTTTGGCTGCAGTGTGTGTCCAAGCTACCGGCAAAGCCTCAATTAGCGCAGTCGAGTCCAAGTACGCAAAACACAAGCAAAAATTGAAAAGTACATTGCAATTATACCTGAAAGCTTAGAACAACAACTATACGGTGCCTCTCGCCCTTCATACCCATCGCCCTCGCTCAAGGCCTTAGTTTCTCAAGGTAGTCATCCTTATCGTGTAGAGACTGTATGGAAAACAGATGCACACCTATAGTGCTCAGTACACCTCGGCAAATGGCTACAAGTGCGTGAGACACAAAGTGATATTCAGTAGCAGCAAACGCTTTATGTTTCAATGTTAATCATGTCGGCAAAAGCGGTCCCTGCAAGATGAACACAGCTTTGTCGTCCCTAGCCACTACCACGCGCTGCTGGAGGTCACTGGGTGACTGCACTTGGCGCAACGATCGCGCCGGTAAACATTAGGTGCACGCGGCAAGATTGCGGAGTTGAGCCGCTTCGCATGGACTGGCGCTTAATAGCCTTGCCGCCTTCTCGTGCTCCGCTGAGCGCGTCCTCCGCCACCCCTTCACGCACACGTGTTCGCCAGGGAAGCGTGCGCACGCTGTAATAACAAGTGAAAAGTTCACTTCAGTAGCGTGCGGAAATTCATGTGGACCCGTCACATAGTTTCTGATTACAAGCTGGAAGAACAAACTTGCAGCGTCTGGCGCACTATGGGGATCTGCTGCAGAGCAAAATGACACGTGATCACTGCGTCCTACGACTGCAGCATTCGTTCCATTGCGTAACTCTATAAAACTACATATAGCGAATCAATCAATCAATCAATCAATCAATCAATCGATCGATCGATCGATCGATAAATCAATCAATCAATCAATCGATCGATCGATTGTCGATGTTGCGCGGCCATTGTTCTGAGCCCTCAACAGAGGCACTCAGGCGTATAACTCACGCACTGTCGTTAAGTGAGTAAGATAAGCTCTCACTACCGTCCTTTGATCATATGCAAACCAGTTTTCTCCACGCGTTTCTGCGCACGTGCGTCCTGCTGCAAGTTACGTCACCGTAACTATCAAGGGCTAATTCGTCCATTCACTACGTCTCCACTCTTCTTTTCCCTGTCGTTTAGTTAAGCTATGCCTTCCTTCCCAACTGCAAGCCAACGAGGGCATTGTTCGGAGCAAGCGTATAAGTTCAAATCGAGTATACCTTAGCCAGAAATGCACGCTTTCTTTGCTTCCTTTTTTCTTTTTCATACTCGTAAGGTCACACCCGGTCTTGCGCGCAGCCGCATCGCTTGGCTCGTGAAAGAAGCATGGCTGCCACACACTTCCGCGTTCGGCTATAAAAGGAAGGAAGGAAGTCAACGCAGCGGCGCGTGTGTGCGCGCCTGTCCGCGGCGTTATACGCTTCTGCGAAAAAAGCGGGTCACTGGTAGCGCAGTGGAAGAAGAGACAAGCAAACGCGAAGAACAGAAAAGAACGCGCGAGTTATGAGTGGACAGGACGCGAGGAAAAAAAAAAAAGGAGCTCCGAGACACGCGCCGCTTTCTTATCCTCCACGGTATGTATCACACAGCGCGGCAGGCTTTAAATTACGAGCGTTCGAAAATAGCGGTTCGTTTCCGAGGTCGCTGACGTCTCGTCAGTGGACCAGTGGCTTCTCTCGGGTATGCCGTTTGTACCGCGCTTCCTGTTCGCTCTCATGGGAACTGGCCTATCAGCTGATGGCGATGCTCTTGAGAAGTGAGGGCACGCTGGACAACGCTCCACGTTGTCAATGTACTTGTATACATGCCACTGCGAACAACTGACGGTCATGACCAAGCGTAACGAGTCGGTTTTAAAACAACTGCAATGGATCTTCTCTGTGTTTCGGTTTTGCCTGTCGACGATATACCATTGTGTTGCAGCCCTGGTTGAGTACCATCGACGTATACTGTGCAACTATACGAACGCCAGTGAAATCTTTTTATTGAAGTATATTATGCGTCTCCCTGTGGCATACCTCAGAGCGACGTCTGCCGCCATTTAGACGCTATGTTTCGGTAATAATGTTATCAGGCTAAAAAAAAAGAAACGTTTTCCCGACCTTATTGTGAAAGACCGTTGCGTTGATGGGCGTATCTTCGCTGGAATGTGTCAGTCTTCAATACAACTAGCGCTGATAGTTGATAGGTTTATGTCGCGTATTTTCTTGCTCACATTCTTTCCTTTCTTCGAATAAAAAAAAAGTACTCAGCACTTCTTTCGTCTTTCTTTTTTTTTTTCTAGCTGGCCCTCCTTTTGTTGCATCACAGTATGCATCTGAAATGCGGTTTCTTCTTCTCTTTTTTTCTTATCCTAACCACCGAAGTTTGCATAGTTATTCACTGTTCACTGAGAAGATTGATGTAACAGCACTCGGAAACTAACCTTTTATACAAAGAGTGTGGCGCTTTGTGAGGAGACGTGCATAACAGGCGCTGCGAACACGACTGACAAGTGGGGGCGGTTGCGCGCACTTCGCACGTATCTTTTTTTTTTTTTTTTGCTTATGTCGCTTATGTATCTGATATAGGTTGCACGGTTTCGAAGCCATACTGAAGCTGAGAAAGATGCCACATTAAAGGACTGCGAAACCGTCTGAAGATAGGAACTCGTGTTTCAGTTCTATACAGATGTCTACGTGCATGAACATGCACTGTCCTTTGCTCCGGCTGAAGTACAGATCCCTAGACTATAACTTTGAATATACACGACTTCAGAGCTCATCAGACGACCACTGCGGTGGGTTTTTCGTCGTGAAACGGTGTACACTTGAACAACCAGGATGTGTAATTCTCAAAACGCAAGCCTGCCATTTACATAACGAGCGACACATCCAACAATACTAGTAATGACAATATGTTGTTACGTTCGAACTGCTCCTAATAAAAAGTACCGCCTGCAAGCGATGTCTTGAAAATTATGAGTGAAGGTAATCGGTCAGTGGAGAGTAGCATCTACAAACCAAACACTTCCTGAATTGGTCGCACTTCGTCGTTCTTTTACTGCACTCGTCAGAATGTGCGCAACCTGTCCTCAGTACACTTGTTCAAGGAGAGCATCGCTCATTTGAGTGGACTGTTAACATGCAGTGCAGTAAACCGCGAGCTGCAAGTGACACACCAAGGCAGAGCGTTGAATCAGGGTCACCAACAGGCTTTGACGGTGTTCAGGGCCCTCCGTTACTAACATATAGTTCGCAGATCGGTGACCGATGAAAACCTTGACCGGACAACACCACACGAGGCCGTGACGATAGTGGTTAAACACCCCCATAGCTATCGCTATCATCGTGCTTGGTACAGGGAGAATAAGCAGAGTTCTGTTTTGAATGCATGCGACTCTTGGCAATGTTTTTCAATACTACCGTGCATCTTTAAGAACATTAGTCACATTCGGCTCCTAAAAACCCTTAGGTATTGTTTTCTACAGTAGCCTTTATGTCCATACTTTCAGATTCTAATGCAGGACTTAACACAAGCACCAATAAATGTCAGCAAACTTAAATATTTGCACGTACCACGCCGCTCGATATTATAAAACGATGGTACGTATCTGGCGTTCTTCTTTGTAGAAGTAAGACATCTACTAGAAAAAATATTCTCACCTGAAAAATCTAGGTCAGCCTCGTTTCTTCTCCTGTCGTATTGGCCTTGCTTCATACAAGTGCCAAGCTGTGTAGCAGAGAGTCGGTCTGTCCCAGTGGGCAGGAACCCTGAGACACCCTGAGAGTGGCCAGCTTCGAAAGCCCGTAGTAGTGCGCCAGGGCACCCATGAGCACGAGCACGTGGAAGATCTGGTGACTCTGGAAGGCCAGGTCGCAGCGTCCGGGAAAGAATCGCTCAGGAACGCGGCTCGCGTAGACGCAACAGCCGCTCACGTAGATGGCCACCATGAGCAGGATGTACAGGAAGGAACTCTTGTACATGAGGTCGTTCCAGCCATGCTGGATCCCGTAGTGCGCAGACGGGAGGACACCGCACACCAGGGCGAAGCTGAAGAAGATTCCCGCGCGAAGGGCGCGGTAGCGCGCTTCGCCGAACTTGTGCGACAACGATACGCGCATGGTCAAGAGACCGGAAGCAGTCACTAGGAGACCATAGACTAGCCGCTTGAGGGGCTCGCAGAGGAACTGGAAGTAGAGCCACGGGTAGAACGAGCCCAAAATGAGCACCGTGATGCCGAAATAGTCCATCTTGCAGAAGAACTTGCCCACTTTCGCGGAGTGGCAGTTGAACGTGTGGTACGTCGTAGAAAGAGTGAGGCATAGGGCTGCCCCGGCGAAGTAGATGCCGAAGGCGAGACAACCCGCCCAGTCCAGGGCGAGAACGTCGGAGCGGAAGAAGTGAACGCCCAGCGCTAGGAAACCCAAGGCACCGAGAAGGTGCGTCCAGATGTTTCCGCTTTCCGTATGCAGGCTGAAGATGGAGCGGGCACACGCGCGCCAGCTGTACAGCGGAGGCCTGTGGTACCTCACGAGGTACTCGTTGTTCTTCAACCATTCCGGAAGTTCTGAGTGCGAAACGAGCTTCAGCTTGGTTCGTTCCCGACGCTGCGCTTGGCTCAGCGTGTAGGCGACCCAAGCTGCACTGAATCTGTTTGTCGCTGGTAGAGAGGACCGAGTCGACATCCGTTTCACTGAGCTCGTCGCTGAAAAAACCAGAACTGCCATCTTCTTCCTCGTCGTCATCGCATTCATCGTCCGCGTCTGAACCTCCGTCGCTATCCGGAGGAGACACCTGAATATCCGGAAGCCCGCTTCGAAGCACGCCCTCAGCCCACTCGAGCACTTTTTCTTCCACGGGCACCTGGTCGGGAAGGTCGGACAGGACGCCTTCGTCATCCTCGGGAAGCAGGTCTTCGACTCTCGACTCATTCAGCGGGCGGCACTAGCAGTCGGTTCATGCACCTGATGCGATGCGCGACGCTCTTGAAGAGTCCGAAGACACGCGACACAGGTCCGGCCACGGGTCCTGCCACGATAGCCGGCTTCCCCAACGTGACGTCGTCGACCTTGCTGGGGATCTTGCACACCGTCTTGCTGTCGCGAGGCGAGAGCCGCGACATGGCCGTGATACGGCACCGCAGGTGAACCTCGGGCCCACCGCATCGTCCCTGTCGGACGATGCCGAACTCCACGAACTTGTTGCCATCTGAGGAGAGGTGGATCCGTGGTGAAGAAGGTTTCTGTTTCATCCCGGCCGCTTACGAACTACAAGCACGTGGTCACGCGTCCTGAAAGCTTTTGCTGGGGGATCAAAAACAAAAACACCATACACTTTGGCTCCTCGAGCACCCCCTCTTGTCTAGGCTGCACTTTCTTTTCGTACTGAACGAAAAGAACCAGGCCGCTACTTGTTATAGCGGCGGCCAGGAGGAGAGGAGGCAACGGCCCGATGGCCCTCGGGAAATAAAAATGAAAAAAAAAAATCCATACAGGAGAGAAAGCAGTTGGGCGGGATAACGCGGCTTCTTTCGTTCCATGTACGCACACATGGACAGGGAAAGCCGTCTTGCACCTCAGGTGAGAGCAGGAGAGGGCATGGGTGACGCAAAGGCGCCCTTGCCGTCGACGTCGCCGGCCAGGCCTCCGTCGAGTGAGGTCCGACGTGTTTTTCCGCGAGCGTCAGAAGAAAGGGGATCATCATTTAGAGTCGTCCGTCGTTCCGACGCGCTTCGAAACGATTCCGATTTCCCGCGAAACGCATGTGCGCTTAAATTGACGCGCGCAGCCTGGAAATGTATTTAGACTGTATCGTCGATATATGCTAAGCTTGCATAACGGAAAATAAATAAAACCTGGAAAACGTGGTTATCGTCGATTCACTATACCTCGGGAAACTCCGCAATAAGCAGGCACGCACAGGAACGTCTATAAGCAAAACGCTAAGCGTCTCGTCGATCAGTCGATGTGCACATGTTTCAGGCCTTATGTATATACGCCCTTGAAATGTTGTTGTTCCGCGCCATGCATGCATTGTCAACACGTACGATGCCGGTATATCGTATGAGCAATAGCAAACAAGCTTTGTAGAAAAGGGTACGAGTAGCACTGATTGTGCAGGCATGCATTTCAAAGACGAGTACATAACCAGTTTCCTTACGACAATGCGAAAAACCGGTACGCTTGGAGCCCACGAATACCTGAGGTAGAGTCATTGGTGTTCAGAAATATGGGACTTGAACATACAGAAATTCGATGCGAGTTTTCTTATGCAATAATGACAGTGTTACTACTATGACACCGTATCGTTTGTGGGATGTACGCACCCGGCATATTGGTTCGAAGCTATTGAACAGTAATTACCGTATGGGCTTCATCAAAGAAAGACTTTCACAACACGTGAGAAATCTTTCGGGTGCAGCTTTGTAGCCTCAGTTTGGCTGGTTTCACCATGAATTTCCAGGATGGCACCCAGGAAACCACAATAAAGGAAATGAATTGTTCCATCCACGTATACGGGAACAAGACGGAAGGAAGTCGTGAAAAAAAAATGAAGGCTGCCAGTCCTTGTTTTCATGAAATTTCGCACAGTGCCATAAGAAGGTCACTCCGAGAGCGCAAGTGGAAGTTTTTTTTTTTCTCCAACTAGAAAACTAGCGTCAGTGTTCGAAACAAACTTCACACGGCCTTCGAGCAAAAACGCCAACTCACAAACAAACGCACGCCGCACTTCGCGAAATGCACGCGATGTGTTGTCTATATGAGGTACCACTCATCTGAGGTTAAATCTACATAGGCAAACTAGGCTGATGCATTAAGTATCGGTATCAAGGGTACGTATACAGTGTCAATCGCATCGTTCAAGGTGTATACCTTGAACGATACAACATTATTCATGTCATTATCAGCGCGTCATAATAGTCGAACCATATTACCCTCCCATAATAATTTAGGCGTTGTACCCCACCCATGTTAAGGGGGTGATCATGTGAGCAGCCAGATGTAGGCGGCTTATAGTACGCTTGCAGTGCTTGCAGTACGCAAAAAATTGTTCGCATTCAGTACAGATAATAATAAATAGTGAAGAAATGATAACATACACGTCTACTTATAACACTAACATGGTAATCTTTTTGTTTCTTTTTAACTTTATTTTTATGATATTTTGCATCAGTCGTCTTGATGCTGCCGACGTCGACAGTCAGATTGAGCGTCTGATGAGGTATCAAGGCTCTAGCCCATTTAACCACTAAACCGAACCTGCACACGCTTTCCAAAATAAAATCCTCGCAGAGCAACTATACACACGCTGGGACAGTGGGTTAACTTCTTAATGATTCTCGAACGTTTACCTAACATTCAATCTAATTATACTAATATAGATTAGGAAGGCTCTCAAACAACTAAAGGCGCTAGTTCGTCATAGGGATAAGTTCTCTGCACTCTCTGCCGTGGCAACAGCAACGGCGTCGCGACATAGAGAGCGCGTGTGTAGGAAACAACAAGAAGGGAGGCCTCGTCTACGACACGTTAGGACTAAAAAGAAAAAAAAAGCCAAGTTTCTTACACAATCCTTTGGTTTCCTCAAGTGGTATGAGAAACGAATATGTTCCATATAAAGCTACTTTCTATTATGCTGTTGCCCAAATACGGCACGCACTTTAGTGTTCCTTGTGCTAAAGCCAGAAATTGCTGCCAAAAGTTGTGCAGATATAAGAAAACACAAACAAGCTTGCCAGAGCGCGAGTGTTTTAGCAGCGAAAATTTATACAGGAACTCTTTTTTTACTCCTGTTTCTTTTCTACGGGGTATTATAAGAAATTCTCGCTCTTTCCTGCTAAAAAATTGTGCAATGTAAAATAAAAACAGCTGTTCTTCAGAAGCTCCATATGTGTGCGTCAGTTATTTTTCGTTCTTTATGTTTTTTCTTTACAACAACTGGGCCACGTAAATTATTTTGGTGCAACGCAGCATTACCTTAAAACGCACAAAGCACTCAATGTTCTTTTTTTCCATTCCCTTCACTATACCTGCAATAAAACTTAACTTCTCACGTTTCGCCTGGTGTACTCGGGCGTAGACGTCAACCTTCTCTTCTGTTTGCTCTCTTAGTAGTGAACTACCACAGTAGACGACCACGTCTCTACCACGTGACAATATAACTGCTAGCATAAGCTTCTCTATGCTGATGACTAGTTGAAATTAACTCTCCGAACACCATCATGTTTCAGCAATGCGTTTTCACACTTAGAAACTTCAGAAGAATCAATATGAGCTCTAGTAAAACAACATTCATTCTATTTAATAGAAGTCAGTTTAATAAACGTCATCGTTTCATATTAACATTCCAACCTATTTGGAAGGTTGTTCTCTCGAGCAGGCTCGATCAATATGTGCGAAGGGAAGGAAAAGGACGCTGCGGTGAAACTTGGATAGCACTAACGAAGAAGCCTGTGATAGCCTATGGTGCGCAGTACAGAAGTGTTTCACAATATTCCCCGATTATTATGCTTAGAGCAACTATTATAACGCGAATAGGTCTTCTGCGCGAGATTTTTAGGACTGACCTTTCACTTTGCCCCTCCAAAACAATCGGCAACGAATAAATATAACAGTATTGAAAAGAGGGTGGGCACTGTCTGTAATAATGGCAAAAAAATATCGATCTAGAGACGACCTCAGCATAGGTCAACCCGTAGTTCTAGCGAAACGTGACTTGGCGGACAAATTTCACTAACGATCCCATATTTCCACGTCACTTCTTGTTAAGCCGTTGCAAACTACTGTACCTTTGGCCACACCTTCCACACCTATCGTTTTGAAACCTATACAAGACAAATGCACACATCCATCTCGCTGGCGTGCAGCGCAGCCCAAGTGCATTCACGTGCGGAGATTTTTTGGACACATATAAAAAAACAACAGGTATACACATTCGCACGGGACCTGATCGCAGACCTAGTCGAAAATTGTTTTCACCTTCAATATGGACCTCTAAACACTTACAAAAGTTTGTATGACGCCAACACTGACCGGCTGTGTTGCAAACAAGGCATGACCTGGGGCGAATCTGTGATTCACATTAAACTGGCGAAATGATGCTAAAAATTGGAATTTGGTATGAATGTGTTTTCCCTCAAAGTACGTATACTCTGTTAAACTCACACTAAATAGCACTTCTGAATGCCATATTTGTTGCAGCTGTTTCACTGCCCACAAATATATCGTGTTTGCGAGTTGATATCACAGCTAGCTCCTGCTATCAAAAAAAGAAAACGAATCATAATAAGTGAATAATTCGACATACATCTATTGCCCATAACAACTTCCTTTCTTTTGCTTAATTGACGCATTTGATGATTCGTTAATGCATTTGAGTTGCCGTACGTGACAACTTTGCGCTATCACAAAAACTTTATTCAATCTTTCTGTGCATTATTATGAGCTATGATGTTCGAGGCTTGCAATGTGTTGTAGAAAAAAAAATTATCCTCATCATGGACCGGCATGCACCCTCTTCCTCTTCATCAGTTTTATCTGCTGCTCCGCACCCAGAATACGTGCGCCGATTTGATCGGCGGGACATGACATGACAACAACCTTAGTAGAACCCTGAGAGCTCCGAGGAAAAGCACAGGCCCCCTCTTCCTCCTCCCCTCCGCTCAAGAACGAGGCCCTGTGGGAGATGCAATAGCTCTGATGGGTGAGAGAATGACTACGAAGAAAAAGAAGAGAGACAGACGTATACAGAAGAAAGGGAAACATTCCTTGCAAAGAAAAAAATGACAGCATATTCACCGAGTGAATGATAAGTGGGGCGAAGCGTCCCTCCGTCCACCTGTCCGGCCGTCCTTTTATCCAGTGAACACTCCAAGTACTGCCATCTCGCATCTTTTCATCATATATTCATCCTATATAAGTACCGCCACCCGGCGAACATTCCAAGGACTAAACGAGAGGTGGCCACTGCTACAAACACGGGGCGTACGATCCACGGCTTAAGGAACTTCGCTCCTAAAAAAGTTCTTAGCCAGGTGATATTCGCACCCGCGGACCCACGATCTAAAGGCGAGCGTCGTAACCATTCGTCTATCAAGGCACACCAGAAGAACATAGCATGGCCTTGTATAGAATATTATAGCAAGGGGTGGGGAAGGGTACTGTAGGTGAGGAGGAGGCAAAAAAGGAAAGTAACACAGAGAGATAAAATGGGAGAAATAGAGCAAAAGGGACGAGAGAAAATGATATGACGAGATAACAAATAAAGAGAGAGAAAAAGGCAGAGTAAATAATGAAAAAATAAAGGAAGAAAGAAGAAGGAAAAGAAAGACAGAGGAAGAAATTGACAGAAAAAAAGAGACAAAAAGAAAGAAAATG